GGGAGGGGGCGCGAGAGACACGGATAAATCCCTCGGAACGGAGCGTTATACGCGCATGCATAAGCTACGTCACCTACCACGTGACTACTTGATCGACATACCCGTGCCCTGATACTCACCGGAGTGATAGGACACCTCTGAAAAATGTATATAAATAATTTATTGACAATAGGGGGTTTCGTTTAAAAAATTGAAGGCGACCTTCAAGCAACTATTCAAGGCCAACTTAATGGCCATCTTATGTCCCCCTCGTAACCGTACGATTTTTGTCTGAAACATTCTTGTTTGCTGGGCTTAGTCTTTGTCGAGATGTTTTACTGTCCAAGTTAAAATGGGACAGCCTGTATATAAATTATAAATTATTATTTACTTTTCACTACCATTCTTTTCTACGTCAATAACATGTGGAATATATTCCCTAGTAGCACAATATATTGGCGCAATATTGGGAAATAATATAAATCTAGTGTTCCCAGTATTGGTCCAATATTGTAAGATGGACGCCTTCTCTTATTTAGGCAACGTGTCTGTTTAGCAACATTGGTTTAACATTGTATCAGTATTAGACCAGTATTCTTATTACAGTGTTAAACATTGGCCAATGCACTTCCAATATAAATCTAATATTATAGAATTATTGTCGTGCAATCTTTACATTTATTTCGTGGCCAATATTGGCTTTACGTTGGACAATATCGGTCGATGCACTGTGCTACTAGAGTCAAGCGAATGGAATGTTTATTCTAGTAAGTAAGTAAAATAGAATTCTAGCAGGTAAGTGGGATAAAGGTATCGGCTTTTTATCTATAAAATGATGAGCGATAACTTTCAGACGAGTACGCGCGTGTAAGAACAAGCGCGTTCGCGCGATAGATTTTCATCTGTCGAAATTTTAATCGCGGAGGAAAGGTTGATTTTAATATTAAACCTTTTTCCCTTTAAATCCTCTACTGTTATTTTTCCACATTTTCCATTTCGTCTCCTCGAGGGATCTAACGAGACCTCTCAGCACAATGAAACGTGTACGCGATTGAGGCCTGATAACGGCTGATAGCGTACATCGGTGCATGTGCAGCCCAGTGTCCCCCAACACGCCGGGACCGCACATGCACAAGTGCCAAACGCGATTGATCGCCGACAGCCGCGCCCTCACCCCGATGACTGGGTCTGGGGACATCGCGCACGCGCATGCGCCGTCGCGGGCAAAAAATTGACGAACGCCGTCGAGCCCCCGAAAACGAGTGGTTTGCGGAACGCGCGAAGCTTGCAATCTCTCGACCGCGCGTGTCTCCGCTAATTTCCAATCTAACAGTTCGATTAACGCACATTTCGACGCGTATTAATAATTTTTAATTTCAGATAGAGAAAGCAGTAAGTTGAACCGAGGTTAAAGTTGATTCGCATTGACCGAAATGGACATCAGAGGATCGAATGCCGATTAATTAATTTGCCAAGCGATACCTGTAGCATTTCGCTAACATATTACACTATTGCAGTGACAATAGCATTAGTAATTTTTACCGTAAGAAAGAAAGACTAGGGACAGTAAATTGTACCTACAGCTAAGACTACCGAGCAAGTCAATCGTTAATTAAATTAATTGAAGATCGATCGTACATCTCCGACAGAAACGTTGTTTTTGTGTGGACTCGCAACATTTCTGTCTCTCTAGAGCGTTGATCTTTTTAAACAAGCTAGCCAACGATTTAATTTGCAACTAGAATCTCCTAGGGTCGAGAATTCTCGTATCGCGCCTGATTGAAAATCCTTTTTGCGATGGGAAGTACGGAAACACGTAGGGAAGTAAAAAGGAGAAAGATCCTCCGCGGTAAATACTCGCATTTCACGAGTGCGTCTGTGAACGTCTGTACTTAATAAACTGAAAATCTGATTAGACTTTCAATTATTAGATTAACATTCCAAGCATGGAGGGTGTCGAGGCTGAAGAACCGGAACGTGTCAAGGCCGAGGTGAAGCCCGAAATCGCGCGGCTCTGTCATCAGGAATTGGCGAAGTCGACCAAGGCGACCATAAACGATCTCGTTGAGCGCGAGCCGCTGCTCCGCGGGCTGCCTGCGGACGTCACGGTGGAAGAGCTGAAGTCGCAGACCGCGGTCGCGCAGGGCCAGGCCATAACGTTATTCTTGAACCGCGGTGCACTGCCGAGGCTCGCAGTGGTGGTAATACATTTGTACTGTTCACGACGCTTCCGCAATCCCGATATCCAGCCGCTTCATTGACGTCCCGGTGAGAAACGGCTCGTCCAATTGACACAGACATTGTCAAATTCGACGTCAATTCTCTAGTCGTCTACAATGCCTGGAGTAAGGAGTAGGAGTAAAGAAATTAATCAATTTTATTTCTTACTCCTTACTTAGTAAGACAAGGATGCCCATTGAGCCCATTCAATATATACCTAATGGATCTGGAGTCGGAGATGAGAAAGGAACAGACAGGAGGAGTAGCAATAGGAAGGGAGAAATTCTGGACAATGATGTATGCGGACGATGTAGCGTTGGTAGCGAAGAGCGAACAAGAGATTAAAGGGATGCTAAAGAGATTTAAAAGGTTCTTGGAAAGGAAAGGACTACTACCATTAGGTACAGATAAATCGAAGATGATGGTATTTGAGAAGGGAATGGAGATGGGACGAAGAGGAAATAGAAGAGGTGAAAGAGATGAGAGACCTGGGATACCTGATGCAGAAAAATGGTGGATCAAATAAGCACATATTTCTTTCTCCTTCAGCTCTTACGCTTACTCTTGGTGAATCGGAACGCCATCGGCCAGTGCTACAAATATTGTAAAAAGTTATGGTTCTCTCTTACTCCTTATTCCACGTATTGTAGACGACGCTTTGGCAGATCAGCATCAGATTGGTAGCAGATTCATCAGAAAAGCCACACCAAAATCATAGCTATCTGTGTCCACATTTCGCTTTTGTCCTGGCAACAGAAGGCTTGTTCTCTGTTGCTGCACTAGTGAACTAGTGCAGCGAGCTAGAGTGAGAAAAAATATACTTGTCTTACTCCAATTTATTGCACTAGTTCACCAGTGTAGCAACAGAAAACAAGCCTAGAGTCTGTAAAACGTATGCTGTTAACAGACTGTCAGCAGAAACCGAGCAGGTCCAGTTATGCGAGCGGATCTTGTTGTATCTCGACATGCTGGCAACATGTCGAATATACGAGTTGCTGTATGCAATCCGCGGTCTTTCTGCCTTCGAAATTTGCAGCGGGCATTCGATAAAGTCCGTTCTAACATCATTTGGTCATCTGAGTCGACAACTTGACGGCGTGGTTTCGACGAATCTTTTCTCACTGGGGTTGCGCTTCACGTTTTAGGTACCGCCGCACAACACAACGGTGCTCGACCTGAAAAAGGCCGTCAAGCGACACATGAACTTGTCCCTGAAGAGAGAACGCGTGAAGAAGAAGATAAGCTGGAAGCACATCTGGAAGAAATATCACCTCCGCTTCGAGGACACGCTGCTCGCCAACGACAGAGAGAACATCAAAGCTTACGGCATCGCCAACAGGGTGGAATTGCACTTCGCCAAGAGGCGCAGGGAGAAGAATAAGCTGAGATAAAGAACACTTTATTTGTACAAAAGTTAACGACTTCTGTACAAATTTACTGCTCGCGTTGTTTCGCTTATGTCCAGTAGTACTTCTGTCGAGCATTTGCGACTTGCGGCGCCCAGCGATTGAGATTGTGCGAGTAACAATTAAACACTTTGTAAATAATGATAAATACGTCGTGGTGTCTTATAAGCTGTACTATTTCTAGTCTTTTATCGGCGCTAGTCTTTCGGTCTCCCCTCGGGCGGGAGAATCTCGCAGGTCAGTCCCGGTATGCAGTCCTCCAGCATGAAGCAGCTCAGCTCCAACGCGACGGATCCGTGGTGATTCGTCACGACCAGCTTCTTCAAACCGGCCATCCTGTACAGGCACTCCAGTCCCCTCTCGGTGATCCTCTCGCATTCTGAGATGTCCAAGTGCTCCAGCTTGGGAAACTCTGCCGAGATCTTGTCCAGGCCCCAGTCGTCGATGTTCCTGCAGCCCTTGAGGCTGAGCCACCTGAGCCTCGTGAGGCCGCACAGGTTGCTCAGGCCCTCGTAGTACAGGTCCACCCCGCTGGCGTCCGCCTCCTCGAGAACGTAGTTCGGGTTGTAGGTGCCGGGCAGGTCGTACGCGCCCTTCTCGTCGCGCTCCACCCAGTGATCGTGGCCGCGGAACTTGATGCGGCCGCCACGGCTGACGAGGAAGTGAGCGGTGGCCAAGTCGGCGCCCAGTATATCGTGCCGCTCCGGTTGGAACTGCTGAGTGATCTTGGAGTACGTGGCCAGCTGATGTTTGTACCACTTGCCGATGTTAATCAGGGAGAAGTCGGTCTCCTTGGCCGCGCTCGTGGGAAACCACAAGATCCTCTTGGACTGCTCGTCCCCGGCTTTTGGCGTCACCGCCTCCTCCTCTTTCTCCACCCACTTCTGCCAGCGTTTCTCGTGATCCACGCTGTAGCCGCGCGCCGCCTGGGCGAGCGCGTTATCCGCGGGGCGTGAACGCTCGTGCAGCTGCTTGCCGAGCGCGAGCGTCAGCCGCCTCGCTTGCATTGTCAATTGGAGTCCGGGCAAACCGTCGAGCTTGTAGATCTCTCGGCGAGCGATACGGCAATGTATGCACGCGGCACCGCGTTCTAACCTAAGCTGACCCAACGTGCCTCGAACAGCTGATTTTGTTTTCGCTAATCAATCGCGAATCTTCCCCTCGAACGTGAACTCGTGAAAAGTGCAATTTGACAAATATTGAATTCGTTAATGAAATGTTTCGCCTTTCACGCTGGAGAAAAAGATTCATGATCGAGCCCCCAAGTCCTACAGCTTGTACGAAACCACTTTTCTTTTTCTCGGACGTTCGAGATAGCGCGACCAATAAGATGTGGCCAGTTGAGTCGATTGAAATTTTAAAAAGACATGCTGAGAAATATATTAATATCGAGAAGTCGAAAAACCATCGGTTTGTGACGCGAATAAAAATCCGTGAGGCGCATCCAAACGCGTTTTAAATGAATAAACGTGTCTGTATTTTCAATTTTATTTTTTATACAACTATATTCTTGCATACAAACTTGTATAACTCCTATTTTGTACATGAGATTTCGAGACCTCGGGATTGTCTCGCGGCTACAATCGTTATATGTGGATTTGTGTAAACTTATTGAGTCATTAAGGAAAGCTGTAAGCAGGAGATTGCACGTTTGCAGTAATGCTAGAGCTAACATTACTTATATGAGTCATCTTTTCTTTTTCGAGTTATTTGTACATCATAACATCTGGGGATTGATACATGCACATGTACGCGTCACAAAGTAGACGCTTGGCGTGTTCCGGCAGGTGACGGTCGTCCGTCAATTCGGTCAAGTAATTCCCTCCTTCTTCACTCAGCCAGTAAGGGAAATCTGGACACGGCACCATCTCCGGTATATTATATCCATTTTGTTCTCCTAACAATGACAAAGGAATTGGAATTTAGAGTCTAATTTATGTATTTTTTTTAGCAATAAGAGAGTTCACCTCTTTGGAAATCGGTAGCACATGTATTTTACTACTTGAAATATTTTGAGCAATAAAATAATAGTACACAGGGTGTCCCATTTTTGTGTATTCAAGGTCAATGGCACCACCTTATGTCCCCCTTCGAACCAAACAACTTTTGTTTGAAACGTTTTTCCGTATCTTTCATATTTTTGGAGACATTTGCGTGGACCATTTAAAATGAGACACCCTGCATAATAAAAATAACGATTCTATGAAAGGTCTGGAAGAATATAGTTATTTTATTATATATAAACATGAGTGATAAAGAAGAGTAACCTTTTCTGTCGGCCATGGAGTCAAAGAAGCACCATGGTGCCTCCGAGCCAGGGCCGCACTTCACGAATGAAACGTAGTGCGAAGTTTCGATGCAGACCACCGCGGACAGCTCGAGATACAGACGCGGCACGGGACAATGTTCTTGCAGAATTGTGAACTCCATAGGAACGTTCAGCTTCTTTGGCTCGTGATTAGTTCTTCGTTCGTGACGATGCACCTAACAGGGGGAGCAGAGAACGTAAAAAAATTTATTTCTAGATATCTGACGTTTACGTATTTATCTTACGTTTACGAACTTTTTCGAGACACTGTAAGCAGAAAGCTATACTCTCGAGACCGACGCCGCATTGCCCGTAACACTCCTTGCACTCGAATTCCGCCAATTTGCCGCACACTGTACATTGTCTGGGCGCTGCAAAGCAATACGTAAACGTTGCTCCAAATTATCTTCAGACAGAGGCGAATCGCTGCGACTCGCGCGACACGACACAACGATACTTAACAGTCTTCGATGATGTCCGTTACGTCGAGCAGTAACGTAGGCTGTATCTTCGGATACATTTTAAATGACTTCCCGAAGCGCGGCATTTGTATGATGAGACAGGAAGGAACCTCCTTCAATCTGATGTTACTGGTAAGGAAACTCTGCTCCAATAATTGCTGCACGGTCGGTAGATTTAAATGATCGTCCTTCTCGACGAACAACTGATAATGGTAGGCGTCCTGTCCGGAGCTCAATTTGAGGAACGGCTCGGCATTCAAAATCTGGGCGACCAGTGACGTTAAGAATTCCTCCGGATCTAAATGTGAAAGGTATTCTTCAAAGCCACCGGTAAAACGATTAAAAGTGTAATCCGATATTTCGGAGTACAAAGGTGCGAACCTTTCTCCTCGCTAGTGAGGCCGGATACTGACGACAGTTTCTCGAGCAACGTCCTAAGCTTCATCACGCGATCCGCCCTAACAAACATGTTTTTTCTCAGTGGATTCACAATCTCCTCTCTCAGGACCCTCTGCACTTCTTCGTACTGCGGACAATCCTTCTCGTTCGGTGGACTGAAAAGTCATTACATGAAAACTTTTGGAAAAACACAATATACTACATGTAGTCCATTGTTTCTCTCAAAGCGATTGTTTTGAATTAACAAATTTCGAACGGAGCAAAATTAATTACCGAAACAGCAGATTGTCAAATACGCTGGTAAATGTGAACATGCTGAAGAGGGTAGCGTCCAAGTAGCACGAATTATGATGGCCTTGAATACCACGGTACTTGCCGCATATACTTTCCAGGTCGCCTTTAACGGAGATAGGCCGCACTATACCCTCGATTACGGAACTCTCCATGTTGCCGAAATTCTCGTTATTTATAAGCGCAGGCCGCTCGTCGAGCTTCGTCTGTTTGTGAGAATCGTGCATCCGTGATTTCCTCAGTTTCATACAATCAAGAAACGTGGCGCGTTAATGTCGAGAAGTACAATTTCTTATACTCACGTTTTCGCAGCGAGAACAGTGTTCGATGTCCGTGAACACGGCTCTGTAAGGCCTGCAATGAAAGTACCGGACGTCCTTGTAAGTTCCATCAGTACCTAAAGGATGTCCGTCGTCCTACGAGTGGCACAATGTTCAAGCGGCTTCTGTCGGTCTCCCGCAGCTCGTTTGATAAGTTCATTTCACTCACCAGCTCTACGGCTGCCATCAATTTGCCAGGGCTTGTGCCAGGCGGTGTGCCGAGCCACCGAATAACTCCGTAGTGGACATCAGCATCCAGAAGTACTTTCACATTCGAGCCCACCACCAAATCCTCTTTATTCTCTACCTTGTTGAACTTTTTGATTTCGTTCTTCTCGCCATTACCTGTCGCAATTAACAGTTCATCGTAATCGATTATCAGTAATGCTCAGTGCATAAATGATTGTGTTTTTCATGCAAAAATGTAAATATTATCGCGGAGGAGACAAAACATTCTCGAGTTAAAGGCGCGACGAGGGTAGTCAATTTTATCTTACTATAATCTAGCAAGCTTATGCCGCGCGCAACCTCCACATCACTGTATACGTTTGATTCTATATCACTACTCCATTTGTGCTCCAATACAAAAATAGGAATGTTCTGCAGTTCCGCTGCCATTGTTAAACAAAAATGCAATAGCTGTCGAGCGCTTTATAACCTGGCGGCGGCCCTCTAGGAAGTCGGGGGGGCCAGTGCTTTGTGCGTCTATTTTTAAATACCCGCGAGCTATAATTAACTCCCTCTTTCGCACGGAGGAATTCAAAGTCCGGCACCGGCACAATCTCGTTTTAGGCTTCATAGGGAAAAGTACCGGCGGAACGAATACACGTTTATTATCTAGACAACAATTCTTGCGCGTAAAGTTGGTCTTATGCGTGCAAACTTGTGCAAGACTTGCCCGAGTTTCGTCCGTAAGATACGTTTAGTCTGTGCTTTTGCAAGCGAGTGGTTAGCTCGTGTGTTAACGTGTAATTTTGCGCGCAAATATCTGACAACTCGTGTACAAAAATGGCTCGAGCGAAATCCTATGCAAGTGCGTGGTCATAACGCTAGATGTTTGCGCGCAAAATGTTCTCCGGGTACTTTCGCGAGACTGTGAAATTACCGCATTTAAAAAGGGCGTGATCGGCGGTCTTGGTATAATTGTTAATATCATTTTCGAGATCCGCCTTTCCGACTTGACGTTCTTTCAGCAGGTTGACAGAGTCCTGGTTGTTGTTCTTGTTATCGTCAAACAGAGTGAATTGCTCTAACAGAACCGCCGGCGTGCTGTCGAGCACCGACCTTTTCTTATCGTTGGCGTACTCGGTCGCCGTGTTATTTTTCAAGAACGGTGCTGAAATACAGAAGCGTGTAAATTGCACAGTTGCAAAGAGAACCAACGAGAGTCGAACGTCGGTTAGAGCGTAGAATGTAGATACTTTTCTCAACGCCAGAGACCGAGTCAGTTTCTTTATAAGGTAATATATTGTTTATCGTGGCGAATATCGTAGCGGCATTCCAATGCGTGGCGCTAAAGTATTCTTTGGCCAACAAGGACGTTTTAGACAGTTCCTGACTTCCCTGTAACGTACACACGTAATTATCTTTAATGCCATTCAGCATTCTACATTGATACACATTTGCATTTATTTGTCACGTTGCTAATTATACAAATTTATCTCTCGAAAGTCACGCACTTTCCCCTCTAGTTCGTGTTCCCTTCTTTCGCAGTTAATCAATTCTTTAGTACAAAAGGTACAGCTTTATACTTGCTGCGCGTTTCTCATCTCTCAAATTAAACCTTTACAATAGTGTCTCGTTAAAGGACAAAGACTTATCGAAACGCAAAGGAAGGGTCGTGACTTTGTACACGGCGTGCCCGACGGCTTTCAAAGTCGCGAGTCTTTAGAGAGCAGCTTTGGTCAATTCACCACTAGTTCGAGGCCGAAGTAATGTCCCAGTCCGAGCTGCGGCACGTGTCCGACGTATCTGACGAACGCCAGATCGCGGGCGCGGGGCCTGTTAGCGGGGTCGGCGCAGTACCAGATCGCGTCGTTGACGGACACATTTCTCAGCTGCTCGCACAGCGGCCCGTCGTTCGCCAGTCGCACCCTCTCCTGGGGCGACTGCACGGCGAGCAGGCACTGCCAGACCTGCGGGGACACGGGGATCAGGTCGTACGTGTGGCAACGCCATTCCGTGCCGCACCAGCTCTTAGACCCGTCGACGGTGTCGGTCACCCGCACCCTCAACACGCTCGTCTTCAAATCCTCCAGTGCTTCTACAAGCATGCCCAGACGCAACTGGTTAACGTTAACGTCGCAAGCACCCTTTATCCGTATCAGTACCGTGTCTTGCTTGGCAACATAGTGCTGCAGGACCCGGCGTTCCTTGCTACTGTCCTCCATAGCCCCGTCCGGCTTGATCAAACGAGATCTTCGCGGCCAGCGCGTCGAAGGGACACGTCGGTGCGTCACGCCTGTCAAACTTGCCGAGCCTCTCGACGTTTCACCTCGAGAGTCGCATGTTATCCGTCCGGGAATTCTTTCCCTCCCCGCTCCGCCTGAATCCTCGTATTCCTCCCTGTATAATTTCTCGGATTCGCTCTCCTCGACGCTTCACATCTTCCAACGGGGGTCGCCGACTTTACATTGTCACTCTACACACGCGGTGCGAAGAATTCGGCGAGATGACTGGCCCGACAGTAGAAGCGAACGCTGTCAAACTAGCTAGGGGATTTCTTTCTTACACGTTGCACGTACGAGGTTATTAAAGCCCGTATCAGACTACGGATTGAGATTGGGATTAGATTGAAATTTGACCAATCAGAGTAAAGCCCGTATCAGACTACGGATTGGGATTGGGATTAGATTGAAATTTAACCAATCACAGTAAAGTTTACTAATCTCAAGTTCAGTAACTTTTACTCTGATTGGTCAAATTTCAATCAATCCCAATCCCAATCCGTAGTCTGATACGGGCTTAACGTAACCTGCTGCAATCACAGGATCACTCTGACCCTCGGTGGAAACGTAGTCACGTACAGTCACGTATACGAATATTTTGCTCTGACAGAAAAGTTTAAAGTCGATTGGTTATAGCCATAGACATAGTATATCTAGACTGCTGGTTGGCGGAGTGGAGGTAGAGCTCACGTAGAAAAGGATGCACTCTGTTTCGTGTCTGTGCGTTCTCTCTCGCACACGCGAAAAGAGGGGATAAGGGGAAGCAGTTACTAACCTGTGCGAGAGAGAACGCACAGACACGAAACAGAGTGCATCCTTTTCTACGTGAGCTCTACCCCCACTCCTGAAATTTGAGAGAACCAGCAGTCTAGATATACTATGTCTATGGTTATAGCCATGCGAATAGCCAATCAACTTGCAACTTTTCTGTAAGAGCAGAATTTTCGCATACGTTTCTCCTTCGAATAAATTCAAGAATCGAGCCCCTGAAATTTCGTAGCATCCCGTTGAAATTTTATTCAATGAAATTCCAGATTTGACCAATCATATAGCACAGGGTCATTTTAATCTGGAATTCTGGATCAATTTGATCTCGCGAAAGCAGCCCAGAAAGAAGCCAGGTTTCCCTCTGTTTTTTTCTGTCCCGAGAAAATCCCCAGAGACCTACACAGGCACGCCTGTGTATCGTGCACTTCGTGATTCGCGGATCGTTTGCCGCGTGAACTCACAATATCCGGCTTCGACAACCAGGTTAGGAGTATGGGTGACACCGGTCACGCGGAGATGTTGCCTGCCGATACGACGCGATTAGCCGCCGACTCCGGCTTCAGCGAGTTGCTGAGGTCGGCGGAGCAGCTGTCCGCGGCCGTCGAGGGAAACGAGGATCTGCCGCAGGTCGAGAGGAATCTGCGGCAGATACTGGACGCGTCCAACGAGCTGTGGTCCCGCGTCACGCAAACGAGCACGCAGGACAACGAGGCGCAAGCGTAGGTTTAGCCGTTTGGATCTCTAGATTTCCTACACATACACACAAAGCAATCCGAAAATTTTCTCCGCTTATTTTTCCCTTATAGCCGTGCGTAATTTCCTGTCGGAACGCGGTTGCAATTCTCGATTTGATTTCTGAGAATGCCGCTTTTCGGTTTACTATTTCTATTGCTAGCTCACTTGTTAACTGTTAAATGATTATACTTGAATTGTATTGTAGATTAAAACTGACACTGTGTTTAATGCACGTAAGCACGCAATTTCTTGGTAATCCCAGGACATTTTTTACACGTTTGTAGTTTCGCCTGATCCACAATGTGCTATTTGTATTTAAAAAAATTCGATTTTACAAAGGCAAGTCAATCGCTTAAAAACTTTACCGACAACGTACGATTGTACGATGTACAATTTGTCAACTTACACTAATGTTTTAAACCCATTGGCTACACAACAAAGCATTTCTAGACGCAAAGAGCACATTGTAGATCAAGCTTTAGACTTTTAAGTTATCAAGCCATGTAATATTATATCACAGCTCCAACAGTGTTGAATATATTGTCATCTATGTAGCTTACTAGAAAACGGTCAATACTAACATAAAAATAAATGTTTCAGTCACGTCTTACTAGGCTCCCGAGGGGTGGATCTGTCTCAGATCTCGCAAAAGTTAAATTCGCTCAGTGCGAGACGCACGTTCGAGCCCTTAGATCCGATCGCAGACACTGACATTGTCAGTTACCTTAGGAACGAAAAGGAGAATGCAATTCTTTCCATCATCGAACAAGTCCACAAAGACGTACGTGTAGTGACAATTAAATATCTGTATATTTATCTGTATGCCACTCAACAGTTGACTTCCTTTTTAGACCTTTGAGCTCACCAGAGCCCAACAAATGGAACATATGCTGGGCGAGTGGAAGCAAATGCGTTTTGAGATAATAAACGCCATGACTGCGCCGTCCGGTGAGCTGGTGGACTTGCGTGGTGCTCCGCAGCGTACAAAACTGGCCGGCTCGATGGTCAGCGGTCTCTCCAGCATCGAGGTCGCCTACGTGAAGGAATTACAGACCTACAACGATCATGTGCTGCGAGGTGTAACGCGGCCGAGCCTGTTTAACGCATTCTACAGAGCCTCCGAGTCCTTTAACGACAAGAAGATCGTGGATCTGTGGCAAATGGTGAAGTGCATGGTCGATATACCGCCGACGCCCAGGGGAGATCAGATTAAGTCCAGAAGCAGCCCCGCGATCGAGCAGAGAATCGTCTCGCAAGCCAAAAAGTATCTGGAGAATCGATACCGAGACTTCATGAACTCCATCATCAACGAGAACCTGATGCAAGCGAAACGGGGCGGCGTTCCAGGCACTATACCCCTGGTCAAGAGCTTCGTGGGCGTCAAGGTGCAGAATCTGAGGGATTTGGAAGACGCTGTGGTGGAGCACAAGCCGTTGTGGCCGCTGGTGTACTACTGCATGCGCGCCGGGGACTACAAAGCCGCGCTGCAGTGCCTGAATCAATGCAATATAGAATTCCCGGAATTCAAGGCTGCTCTGGAAGAAGCTTGCGACGATCCGCAACATCATCCGAGCAGTCGCGCCGAATCGATCCTGAAGCTGCACTACAGGAAGCAGGTGCGATCCGTCACGGATCCTTACAAGAGGGCGGCGTATTGCGCGCTGGTCCCTTGCGAGCCGGACGACCTGCACTCCGAGGTGATAGCCACCGCCGACGATTACTTGTGGCTGAAATTGTGCCAAGTGAGAGATCAGGCGGACGTTGAGAACAAGCTCACCTTGGATTATCTACAGATTACAATTTCAGAGATATACGGTAGGATGCTAAGTTTTATGCAAACAGCCTTCGACATTTTCAGGAATCTTAATCAAGATGCAATTTTTAGGAGAGACCTATTATCACGCGCACGAACAGCCATTTTTGTACTTTTCGATGCTGTTCTTGACCGGACAGTTCGAGGCGGCGATAGAATTCCTGGCCACGGGCGCCGGAGCGAGGCAGTTGCCGCACGCCGTCCATCTCGCAGCCGCTATGCACGAGCACAATTTGTTGGCTGTCAGTCAAAGCGTTTTGGCGCCCCTGATTAGCGTAGATCCCGCCGATAAGCCGCCGGCGAAGAGACTGAATTTCGCTAGGCTGATATTGCTATACGTTAAAAGATTCGAGTCGTCGGACCCGAAAGAAAGCCTCCACTATTTATTTTTATTGAGGTAGGACCCGTAATCATTCTTAAACTCGGCCCTTAAATTATAAGAGTGGTATCTCACGTTGATGCTTCGGTTCTAGATGCATGAAGGATCCGTACGACCGGAACATGTTCGCGGCGTCCGCCGCGGAGATGGTGGTGGACGCTTCCCCTGCGAACCGCGTCTTGTTGGTCGGAAGGCTTGACAAAGATCGTAGACTTCCAGGGATCTTGGATCAGTTCCAGATCAATACGGACGACGTGATAAATATATGTGCCGAAACTTTGTACAGAAAGGGTCTGCTGGAAGACGCCGTCCTGATGTACGATCTAGCCAGAAATCACGAGAAGGTTCTCAGCTTGATGTGCACGCTGCTGACGCAGGTTGTGAGCCAGAGAGGCTCGCCCAACTCTCTCAGAGCGCGATTACAAGTCTCAGCCATGGATATCAGTACAAGGTACAATTTACGCGACTACGTCGGTCGCGAGTGCGTTCTAGTTGAAGTTTGCCATTCACGAGCATCGCATATCTTTTCAGGTACAAAGACATCGCGATCCAAGCACCTTCGGAAGTGGTGTCTTCGTTCTATACTTTGAGGGATCTTATGGTCTTCTTTGATCAATTCCACAATGAGCAATATCAGAGCGCGCTTCGAGTAAGTACATTTGTAATAAAGTAAATAATGCGTTTTAGCCAGCTTAAGAGACAAGACAATTTAAGTGATACCACGTTTTCTTCCTCAGACAATTGCGGATTCGAAGATGTTGCCTCTTCAGGTAAAGGAAGTCGACGAAAGAGTGAACGCCTTGCGTCGGGTGTCGCCCGAAGTGGCCGGCACATTGGCCGATGTCCTTCTGGCCACCATGACGATACTGTACCGTCAGTATCAGAAATTGCGATCGATGGAACCAGGCGACAAGATCGCGAGGGAGCAACAGTTGCACGATCTCCGAGAGCAGGCGCGAGCGTTGACAAGCTTCGCGGGAACGTTGCCATATCGTATGCCAAACGAAACGAACAGCAAACTTGTACAGATGGAGATCCTCATGCATTAGAATCGAATGGAAAATTTATATTTAAATGTAGTCTATACCATTGCTAGTTAGCTCTATTTAAAAGATTTTCATTTTCTATATCATAGACAAACGTTCTAACAAACATTTGATTTTTAATTTGAAGTGCACCGTGGTTGCACGTGTTCCATTAAAGCGTCACGGTACGCGACTAAAGCAGGCTCTCAAAAAATGTAATCCTCTTCGGGTCGGACCCAGGTGTCATGCAGGATGCTACGACTTTGTAAAATGCGGAAGAAAAGACTGTACGATATTCGAGTTATTTTTATATTCATGTTTGTAAATGTACGCGATAGGCTGAATACAGATTATTGCAATTACATAATTAACTTAACAAATACTGAACACAACGATTAACATTTTCGGTTCATATCACATCTGGTGCGGCTCTTATTTGTAAGTTCCGTCATCCGGCTTTCATCTAGGGGACTAACGCGGTGCTAAAACTGTCTGTATTATCTCGGATCCTCGCAGTCTTCTGCGTTACAGGGTTTCAGAGACGTTACGGATATCCCACAGCTGAGATCCGCGACCTTGCCCTCTTTCACCTGCAAAAAACTCTTCGTTACACACCTGTAAATTATAAGGAATAAGTTTCGAACCACGACGCTCCGTGACGTACCGCTCTGTAATCCAGAAACATTTCTTTAAAAGCCAAAAAGTCCGTTATCGTTGACAGCACCTCGAAGACCTCGCCTTCCAGTTCCGTCTGCTTCTCGCTGAATTTTTTTCGCGTCGCGCAAACAAGAGATTCATTAGATAGTCTGCGAAAATTGCCCTTACTGAACGTACATTCTAATTGTAATTACTTTAATTGATGTAAGAGAGTGTCTACTGTGAAATGCGGCATGATTTTCTTCAGGTAATCCACCATGTACGCCTCCACAGCTTTGTTCTGAAATACATCAAGTGCACTTTGAAAGACCTGGCAGCGACTCGAAGGAGGCCCTCGAGCGAGACTCACGTATTCGTTAAATATATCGGTGTACACTAGTTTGTTATCCTCCGCCGGCTCGAAGACGTCCCAGTATTTTTCTAGAAACCTGCGCTGCAGGGCCTGAAAGTCCTCCTCTGAAAAATCGATTCGTTAGGTCGCGGACGCGGCAACGTGCTCTCTCTGCGTCTAGAGATATTTTATATAAGCAGATCGAAATACTTGAAAAATTCGTCGACGATTTACGATTGTACAATTTATCAACTTGCAGGACTTTTTCGAACGTCGCAAAAACACGCAGATTAGCCTTAGGGACTTTTTTTTCGAAATGATCTTGTACCTAACAGCAAGTCCTCGATGTATCCGATCACCTCGTCGAACGAATGATCGTCGTCGCTCCTCGAGATTCGCCTCTCGCCCTCCGGACTCGACAAGTTTGACTGTAACTCGTCTGAAATATTTATTTTGGTACGTTTAGTTCTCAGGAAAAAAAACAAAACGGGAACAACTTAGTGCGTATGTGCATTTTTCGAACGACGCAGCGCGTAGATTCGCCGCGGCAGGCACTCGCGAAATTGAATTAATACAGTTCAGGCGAACACGAACCCATGCTTGTTCCTTTCTCTGTCGCGAAGAATAAGGCACTTTCGTTTGAATCACGAAATAACGTCGCAAGCTGGCGGTTTTCCGTCGAAATAAATTAATAGTCGCCGGAGCGACGGGCGGGCGATAGTTTTATCGATCAGACTGTCTGCGAGGTTAAGTTTCCAGGTTGCTAAACGGGCAAATAAAACGAAATGATAAACTGTGCCTGGAGAAAAATGAGAGCTTTATTTCACATGTGCCGCGGTACACTGGTTGCGTGATTAAACGTCCATTGCGTTATTTATTTACAAACGCAAATTTCTACCGGCGAAGTTACACGAGGTACTCGAGGACGCCAACAGATGGCGACGCCGTTCGCTTTTTGCCAGCCGCGGTCGCCGCGGTAATAGAACGTTTTCGTCATAGATGGCGACACCGTTCGGTTTTTACTTTTCATTCCTCCAGCAAACACGTTTGCTTTCCAGGATGCGTATTTTAATGCGTCCCCCGCGAAGAGCGAACGACGACGACGCGAGTTCAAGTCGCGGGACTCGTTTCGGATCTTCATGGTCGAAGACTGGCCCTCACTGATAGGTAATCGACTTTCAGTCCAACGCCCCTCTCGCGCGCTTGCCTGCTCTTTCATTCGCCCGTTGGCCATCTTTCAGCTCGAGTTTATCGCGCCGCTACATTGCTGGCGTAGTTGGCAAATGCACGACAAGGATTACGATCGAATTCGTAATCGGACAACGGGAAATCTGCGGGAAAGTGGGAAGACGCAACGCGCTAGCGGCCGCCCTTCGAACCGAGCTTATTACGCCGGTTACATTTTGCTGGCGCAGTTTGGAATCTGCAGAATTATCAGGGAGTTGCGCAAGGAGAAAGCTATCTCTTAAAATTTACCCTGCAAGTCATGTAATCGTGGGACATTTCGAAGAGTTTGATGAGAGTTTTTTGAAATTTTACCACACATTTTACCAGTTAAATGTATATTAAGTGTAATTACTAGTAAAATGTATGGTAAAGTTTAAAAAAACTCTCATCGTGGGACAACGTGGCGTTTCGAAGGATTTTACGAGTTTCTTGAAATTTTACTAGCAAAACGTATGGTAAAATTTCATGAAACTCTCATAAAATTCTTGGCAATGCCACGATTGCATGATTTTGCAGTACAAATTTTAAAAGAAAATTCTCCGTGTGGAAACAATCAGAAACCCGTGGGGAACAGGTAATTTTAATTTCAAAACGCTGCATCCATCGTTCTCGTAAGAGCTGTCGATGAGATCCGTTTCGTCACGCATCCAAGCTGAAATTCTCCGAATAATAAAATAGCTTAGTAATTAATAAAATAGCCGGCTTAAATAATTAATAAAGTGAGTATCGGCGCGCGCGCACGCCGCGCCAACAGGATGAGATTTGTAATTATATAAAAAAATTTACCATTATCTCGATATACATATTTTTTACTTGGCAAACAATTACGGTTCTCTTTAATGAAATTACCGCGGCTCGATAACAAAGAACTGTTACAACGGGGAGAGAATTCGCGTAGGAAATTCTTCCACCTACTTGCCTCGCATACGTGCGCACATAGACGCGCGCAAAAAAAAATATATATGTATACAAAACTATACGCGCGCAACAATTTCATACTCCATAGAGCAACTTCATAAATCGGGGTCTTTATCGTCGTCCGTGCTTGACGCCAATATTTATGGAATTCGCACAAACTCGAGCGGGGTCCGCTTACATGCGTCGGAGAGAAACGCCGGTGACGCAAATAGAATCATAGAGCACGTCGAATTAAATTTCGACGTGAATGTCGCTGTTGACGTATCGGACCGGGCGAAACGATTTCCAATTTATTCGCGATACACGCGGAAAAGTCGCGGCGGGGGTCCGCTGGAAAATAATATCGCTTCGCTTTCTAGTCCGGTTGACTTTAATTATGAAAAAAAGCGATATCCGCTCTCGCGATCGCCGCTCCTTCCGGGACGAGCCATTCGCGGGGCGAGACGGCGACGGGGCGAGAGGAACGTTCTCTTTCTCACGGTGACATGTATCCATCTTCAATTAGCGTCCGACTATTATGCCACTTATATTATTTATTTCGCCTCACGTTCGGGGCTAAATAAGCCAAAAGGATAATAAGTCCCCGTCTCGTCGTTACGTTAAAGCTTTCGCTAACGCTCGGCAATTTCCCGGGAATGAGAGCGGGCCGGACAACCCTCCCGGCAATTCCCCGAATTCTTCAACTTCGGGGGACGCTGAATGCACTGAATCTCGCTCGTTTGGCGACTTTGGCCAAGCCCAATTTAATCCGGCAATTAGTCCGAGCGGCGGAATCTCTCACGGCAAAATTGCCGATTGTATAACTCGTTATCCTATTCCGGATCCCGATCGAGCTTCCTTCCCGCGTGACAGGCGGCGAAGAATCGATTAATAATCCTATCGACGTCAACAAAATAGTACAGGTGTTTAACGAGCTAATTAAGTCGACACTTTCGCAGCCGGCGATTCTAGCCGCGCGACCTGAAACCGAGAGTCGCGTGCGATTCGCAAAAATCTGTGCAGCTGATCGCCTTTGATAATATTGTGTCCGCAACCGCTAATTCGATCATAAAGTCATCCGCCGTCTTTTAAATGTAAAATGACATAAAATTTTACGCCAGCGGCTACGAATGTGTTAATCGGATTAAATTAATCGGAGTAATGGGATTCGTTCTTGGCTCGTTAGTCTCATTAGTCTAGATCTTCTTTAAATCTTAAACCTTTTTAACGTTGCACATGTGCGTACATAAATTAAAGATACCGTGGTATCCGGAGAACAAATTTTTTATATAGGTTTAATCAAATGTGTCTAGGTCTTCTTTTTCTCGTGTAATCTCTGTTCGTATGTAAAAGAAAAAATGATAAGAATAATTAGGAGATATTGAACTGTAGAAAAGTGACTATTGCTTTCTCCTTCGTAGTCAAATTCCGACTGGAGTATACAATGCTCCACAAGTATATAATCGTATTTTATATACGGTTGCTATATTTATATATGATAGTAAATTTTACGGTACTTTTTCTGGTTTCTTCAAACTTTAAATTTTTTTAATTGAAAAAAAAACCGATGTCAAAATGATCCCTCAAATTATTTCTTAATTCTTCTCTTTATTATTTTTCTCGCCTGTACAGAAAACACTCAGTGCGCACTAGTGCAAACCGAATTCGCTATAAGATCTGAATACCGACATAAAGGCCCGTGTCCACGGCGCTAGAACTTGGTCCAAGTTCCAGTGTCGTGGACACAGGCCTTAAAGCCTATTACACAATGGCAGGCAACAGGCAATAGGAATAGGGAATAGAATTTCTGACGCGTTGGATTCGTCGGAAATTTTCTTCCAACCAATCCAACGCGTTAGAAATTCTATTCCCTGGTGCTGTTGCCTGGCATTGTGTGATAGGCTTAAGACGCGCGAAATTTACGTACGGCCGCCGGGCATTTGTCAACACGGGACGTGCGTCAGGGTTAGGGTGGGCTACATTTATTGACACGCCACTACACGCAGCCACGGACAAACAAATGATAAATAATGTAGACGACAATCATGCGCCGCGCCAACAACAGCCGATCGGTGCTCGAATCTAAAATACAACATTATCTTCGTTGTGGCATCTGGCGATTCGCGTACGCGCCAACTATCAGAATTGTATATTAAAGCCATCGATTCGCGCCGCTGGCGCTGCCGCGCGAGCGAGTTGCGTTCGATAATTCAAGACGCCGACAAATCTTGTTAACGAAATGCCGCGGCAGTTGCGGTCTCTTGTGCATCGTGTCAGCCCTGACACTTGTTGGTACGCTAATTAACTAAAAGCATCGTATCGCGATAACGGCGGTGCTAGTCGAGCATCTCCGGTTTCGCTCCTTCGCAACCGGGAATTCCGTACGAAGCTGTATAAAACCCGTCAATTCGTCGGTGACGTTATCGTCGCAAACTTGGCGCTGTTCGATTATTCACGATAGGCATCTCGTTAGCGCGCATTACGGGATAACCGTGGCGGAAATCGTCATTTTCCCATAGCGTTCCCTCGATCTTCAGCTCGCCGTTCCTCGGGACAAACATGGCGGCGCGGTCCCCGGGGCGGCCGAGGGAAAGTTGGGAAAGAAATTAAAGTCGTACCACCTCCCGCTCTACGCACAGCGCGAAACAACAATTCGCCCGTATGTTAATTAAAATCCCATTTCGGAAACATCGTCGTTCCTGCACGGAAAAAGAGAATGTTCCTCTTTTGAAAATTGTATATAGTTTCCACGTGAAAATCTTGAAATGGGATTACGTTGCGTTAAAGGGCGGAAGACTTGCTTGAACGAAGCAATGTTACATAATTCAAACAAGAACAATACCAATACAGCACACAAATGTTGATTCAACATCTCAGAAACGTTCCATTACAACATTGCAATATTGCATCAGTGTTACGAAATGTAGATTCAACGTTGAAAAGATATCGCAAATACGTCTAATGTCCACTGAATTGTCTTGTAAACGTAACGATTCAACACTCAGAAAACATTGTCAAATTATATTGAGTTAATATCGGCCGCGTTTAGGAGAATATTTTTACAACTGTCGCAAGTGCTGAAATTGAATTGTTCCAATTTTAGCTCGGAAAATTTCTGACCTTTGCAAAAATATTATATATATACATTTCATAATTGTACATTTTTAAGTATCTATTTGAGTGTCGAAAAATGATAATTTGTTCAAGATTGTTTTGACGTTGCAGCAATATAAAAAATTAATGTACAAATATTAACCTGGATTCAACGTAGAAGAGATATTTGTACTTCAACATTCAACATTGCAACGTTTCAGCAACGTCATTTTGACTTCCTGCGCTGTATGGGATATGTGCTTATTATTTAAGAACAAGTGGAAAGGAAACAATATTGGATCGCGGATTATAATAATTAAAATGATTTTATTGCCACAATAATTGTCTTCTTGAAGCGACAATTACGGTATTTAAATAAGACTGTACCGTTGCTGGCACGTTATAAGATTACGAGATGCTTCTCGGAAGATTACAGATCGTTGCGTATGTGCGAGACGATAAGCGTTAATTTGAGTATATAAGAGTCGATCCGACACCTTCTCTTTTTCCGTGCGAACTCACGAACGTGCCGTTCCAGAGATGGCGGAGGCCGGAGGGACGGGATAGAGTATCGGGGAGAAAATTGAAAGTGTGCCTGCGTAGCGCGCGATATAAAACGACAATTTAGGATCCCGTCGGGGGGCTATCAGTTTTTCCGAATCGAAGATAAGTTTTCGGAACC